GAATGTCAGCAAGGATTACTCGAATCTGCTGCTAACTTTACTTACGTCTTCTTTCTGTCGATTATTTTTGTTTGTTATCCTTTTACTTTGCTACTTATGGTATGAATTTGTTTAAGATATAAACTACTGATCGAAATAAATTTCACTGCGTAGGCGTAAATATAAATGTACACTCATAGCCAATAAAATACCAATTCACACTCTCACTTATCACTTTTTACTTTCAACAATATAAATTCTATTTTCTTTTTCATTCATTTAGTTATAAATAATTAGCAATTTTTCTATAGTATGCCTTGTTTCTTTGTTGCGACTATCATTTGTTTTATAAAACTATATACATAATGAGAACATGAAATATATCCACTTTCTAAATTACAACAACTAATCTGACTAAACTATTTGACAAAAATGGGTGTAGTTGGAAAAAATTGATTTGTTTGAATATATTATTCAGTTATTCATTTCTGATATTTATTTGAGAACGATTATTCATACGTTTTCGTCCGGATACATGTAGTTGAGAGCAACAAATGATTAATATTCTTCTTAGCTTGTATTTGTATCCACTCAGTTTTTACAAATATTGATCTGTCTTTTCTCAATTACGGCTCTTTTACAACAATCGCCGTACAATATGACTTGAACCTATTATTGCAATTCAAATGTTATTTAGTGAATCATTAAATAGTTTGATTACATATAAAAGAAAACTATGATTGAGTTCACAAAAGAAAATATCATTCTGTCTATATCGATTCATAAAGCTCAGCACTATTACGATAAATAGTACCGCTGCTTTCTCCACCAATAACTAATACTTTTCCATTTTCTAATATGGATGCTCTGTGCTCCCGTCGTGCGATACTCATGCTTCCTGCAGTTGTCCATGTGCCTGTTGATGGATTGTACAGTTCAGCACTACTGAGAATATCAGTACCGCTGGTTCCGCCAGCAACTAATACTAATCCATTCGCTAATGTAGATGCTATGTGATATGCTCGACCAACATTCATGCTTCCTGTGATTGCCCAAGTGCTTGTTGATGGATTGTACAATTCAGTACTATTGAGAACACCATTAGCGTTGATTCCACCAGCAACTAATACTAATCCATTTGATAACGTGGATGCTGTGTGCTCCCGTCGTGCGATACTCAGGCTTCCTGCAGTTGCCCAAGTGCCTGTTGATGGATTGTACAATTCAGTACTATTGAGAACACCATTAGCGTTGATTCCACCAGCAACTAATACTAATCCATTTGATAACGTGGATGCTGTGTGATACATCCGTCCAATATTCATGCTTCCTGTGGTTGTCCACGTGCCTGTTGATGGATTGTACATTTCAGTACTATTGGGATAACCATTCCAGTTGAGCCCACCAGCAACTAATACTGATCTATTTGCTAAGGTGGATGCTGTGTGGTCAGATCGTGGCATACTCATGTTACCTGTCATTGTCCATTCTAAATAAGGCAGAAAAGTGAGTAAAAAAGTTGCTCTTAAAACGACTTCCAATTTCTCATTTGCATAAGTTGTCTATCTATTGATAGCAAATGAAATGATTTCAAACCTTCAATAAACTTCTTTTTTGTTTTCATGGTTAACATAAGATTTACTATGAAATATTAACTCAAATTAATGAAAAATATGTTATAAATGACTTCATTGATACTTTTTTGAGTTCGCTCGATGTCGCGAAGTGATGAAACTCAATCATTGTCCTACAGTTCAGCTATGATGATTAAAGATGAAATTTCAGAATTAGAGTGAAAACAGGATACTCATCGTTTAGGCAATTACAAATCATCCAACAAATTACTAACCAGGCTTTGATGTTATTGTTGATGTTGTTGTTGTTGTTGTTGTTGTTGTTGTTGTTGATATTGTTGTTAACGTTGTGGTCGTAGTCGGTTCTATTTTATAGAGGTAATCTTAGAATGAGATTAAACAACTGGCTAGGGGTTTATTCCTGATTTTCCACTTCTTCTTCTCTAACTATTACATCTGCTATACATGTGAATGTACTATAATAGAAGAGTAAATCTTTAGATGGCTTACATGATGATTCTACTTCTACAATCTTTACTTTAATCTGATCTCTAGTACAAGAATCCTGAAAAATAGCTTCATATTACTTATAATTTTAGTAATGAGTATATAATCTACATCCACACCCTTAACAATACAGAATACATATAATTCATACACGAGATTTAGGAATATTCAATGAAAATACAGGGAATACACAAGTCAGATGAGATATATAATATGCAGAATGAAAACACTCTACGATTTTAAAAAATTCTTAAAAATAATATAGCAAAACATTTATGTAGATTTCTTAGAAAATGTTTTGATTATGATTTTTTATTATCACATTGAAAGCATCTAACTGTTTCATAGCTGAGATAGGTATACTGCACTTAAAAAATCCACATGATATCATAGAAATCTCTGGGACACACCTAAGGATTTTCTTTTGCTAAATACATCTTCGCCGATACTTTTAGAATGATTTCTTTCTAAATCTACTATATTCTTAAAAATGTAGGTCGGACTATTCTTGAGATAATGATTGAATCACTCATGACAAGATCATTGTTCTTTTAGTGTAACTTTTAGTTAGATATAGAGAGCTGTTGGATACAAAGCAACTGCTTAGATCTGATTTAAAAGTAACATTTAAGGAAACCGAAAAACGTTACTCTGAAGCTAACCTGACTGCTGAGTTGTATCCGTAGCTGTTGTTTGTGATAAAGTTGTGGTAGGTGTCACTGATGATGTTGTTGTTAGGGATGATGATGATGATGCGGCGGTGGTACTAGTTTCTGACTTCTTTGGCGCAAAAACGACGAAGTTTAACACCAGAGCAAAGGTAACAGCGCAAATTATTAAAATAATAACAGAAATGCCGATTCTTTTAACCCAGCGGAGATGCCACCATTTGTGTAATCCATTATTTCTAGTAACAGGCTTACTGTAAACTTCGTTGGTATACATATTGTGTTTGAGATGAAACTTGAACGCAAAAAAAAAACACACTATTGTTCTAAGGACTTTTCTGTTTGTCTATTACTCTGACGTAAGTAACAGAAGATAACTAATATTATCTTCAGCATCAAAGATGTTGTCGTACTTTTATCTTAATATAATAAATTTTATATATGAGGATAATAGTGTAAAACTGTGCTCCACATCTAAGTTTTCTCACAGCCTTCCTATCTTAATATTGTTTTTTTATACTGTCTACATCATAATCCAACATTTGCTTGGAGTGTGTGGGTGATCAAGACAGTAGTCAGACCCACACCCTTTTGCTTTAATGCAATATATTTAAAGTTTTCTTGATAGATCATAACATTGTTAAAAATAGATGCATAATAATATAGCTTTCAAAAGAATTTATTAAGTAAGTAAAATATAATAATATTATTGGAATCACAGAATTTTCATTTTATAATATGCATTACATCATTGTAAGATATATATACATAGTATTGTTGTTCCTGACATTGGCTACCAACAATCCAGACTCGTCTATATACAACTGTTAAAAATAGTGCAGAGAGACTTAATTAGTTTTAACTTATAATTATCGTTTGTTTGATCACTTTGATTATTCAAAATTACAGATTGATACTTGAGTTTTGTAAGAGACATCTTATTCTTTTTTATTACTTTGTATTTCATCTACTATTTAATCATATATTAAACAACTCTTCAATTATATCTTTCGCATATATATGATATTTTAATCGAAAATAAAGATCATCAAGATTATCATTTCATTTGAAAAAAGAAACAAAAAAAAGAAATAAAACATGACTTAACACCACATACATAAAATAAACACATTCATTTTTATCTCAAAAGAAAATATAAGAATCATTTTATTACTTTGATTCATCTATTTTTATCGATGGTTTCAATATTTGCCATTGTGCATTAAGAGATTCACCAGATAATACCGTTGACCAATAAACATTTTCTGCACATATTAATCCTTTAATCATATTATTCACAATTGGACCAAATATAACTGAACCAAGTTGTTCTTTATATGATAAAGATTCATGTACAAGACGTACTTCAATAGTAACTTCTGATGCACTATCACGACGTAATTCAAAAACAAGTTCTTCATTAAATGTAGGACAATCAGAAGTACGTTGTACACTTGTTTTTTTACGTTTAATTTTTTTTCTATTTCGATCATATAATGTTACTTTAACACAAACATCTGGATATGATTTTGTTTCAATTGTTAATGGTCGTAAATTTTTTGCTCCAAGTATAACAACAGATAATTTAGCAGCACTTTGTAAATAAGATAATGATATAAGTAATTCACCTAAATCTGGATCCTAGAAAAAAACAACAAATTATTATATGAAATTGAAAAAATAAAATATTCAAACTTGAACGATTGTTGATGGATCACATTCATCGAATGATTTTTTCATACGACATTGATCACTTTGAGATAATTCATTAAGATCATATTTAATTGTAGCTAAACGAATATCTTTATATAATGGTTTCATTGTACTTATTTTATATAAAAATATTTCAATTGAATGATTATTTAATTGATCATAGGATAATTCAAATTCATTTAATTGCTTTTTATCAAATAAATAAGATGATTGAAGACGTGTTAAACGAACTATTTTTGTTTGAAATAAACTACGTTTTTCTGGTAATAATCGAAAACGACAATAAAATGAGATTAAATCACCATTATTATTATTAATATATCCATCAAGCATATGAAGATTTTCAAATGCTAATGTATCAATCGAAACATGTCCACTATCACGATCATAACTAATAGTTATATGAGATAATGCTCGAGTTAAATCATCTTCATTTGTTGGATTTGTTGATATAGTTGCTTTCTATTAATTAACAACAATAGAACAATTTATAAATTTTGTCTTAGACTTACAGCAGCTGCCGAAGCATATAATGCTTGTTGTAATTCTTTTGGATCGATTGGATCAAACATTGATGGTCGTCGTCCTCGCATTTGTAAAGACATTCTTCTATCTAAATAAAAGAATGTTCTTAAAATTTGTTATTAAGTATTATTATTTATTCTACCAGTATTTGGTGATGTTGAATTATTTGATGGTATACTAACACGTGATGATGTTGTTGATGGACCGACGACAAATTGTGAGGGTGGTGTGCCTATCAATAAAATAATAATAATAAGAGAGAGAAAGAGAAAAAAAATTTTCTGTCCGATTGAATATTACTCAAATTTTATTAGTAATGACAAATAAAATGATGATCTTTTTTTTCTCATATTTGTTGTTCCCGTTCTAGAACTCTAATATTTAATGAAATAATGACGCATATGCTTATACACATGAGAAGCAGAAGAAGAAAAAAAAGAACGATAGTATATAGTGCCGATCTTTATCAATATGTTTTGCTCTCTAGTTCTACTCACGCAAATATATATACATGACATTTTCTTGATAAATAATCAAGCTTACGATAGTAAGTTGTAGGTTCATTGGTGACAAGTTGACACCGAGTCAAGATTTACAAATCAATAAAAAAAAAGCTTGAAAGATATGATCATCGTCCTACACTTTTATAAATATTTATTTTTTATTGTAAGCTTTTTCATTATATTCTTCAATAAAGACAATTATAAGGTAAGTTCTTTTTTATTCATCTTTTAATTTTCATTCAGTTATAATTTCCGCATCTCTGATTTTTATATCTAATCTTTTTTTGTCGACGGAAAATAATTGTTATTCTTTGAAGTTCTTTTTTTAAATGTTAAATATCATTATATGATTATTCATTTTTCTTCTTCGTCGTTCGAATATTTTATGACATTCATGAAAGAACAAGGAATAAATAAGCAATCGATTTTAATTTTAGATATTTGTTCAGTTGACAAGATTAGATCTATGTAAAAACAAAAATTCTCTTACACATACCGGATGCTGGTGAAATATTATTAAATGAACTAGGCATATTAATCGAATTTGATGGTGATAAATTGAGTGATGATGAATGAACATCAAAACGGGGTGATGGACAAGGTGAACCAGCGCTAGTACCTAAACTATTCACACTATTATTATGATGATGATGATGAACAGAAGTTCCTGTTGTTGATGTTAATGATAAACGTTGTAAGGGAAAGATCAATGCTTCTTCCATATTCTGATCAACAATTGCTGATCGATGTTTCTGATGAAGATGAGTAGATGCATGAATAATAAGAGGAGCACTAAGACGACGATTAGTAGATTTAGTTGTATTTGATGAAAGAAAATTTGATTTCGAATTTCCATTATTATTCCTATCAATATGTAAGGTTTTTTGTTTTGTTATTACACGATATTGTGGTCGTGGTGATGTTGAACATGATCGACTAGGATGTAGATTTACATATGATATTGTTGGTTTAGATATTAATGGTGGAGTTAATGGTGGAATAATTATTACATTTTTTTGACAATAAGTTATTGATGATGATGATGTTGTAGTTGTTGTTGCTGATGGACAATCCACATCAGTATTAAATGATGTAAATAAACGTCGAAAAAAAGAACCCAATTTAGCCATATTTATATGTCAAACAATTCAATAATAAATATTTATATTGGTTCGATTTCCTTTCTTTTTTTTGTTCAATATTATCTTCATTAATATAAAATAATCTTTTGAAGATTAAATTGTACAATAATATAATTACTAATAAGATTACATGATAGATCTAATCTTACAGGTATTAAGTCTCGATAATAAATAATAGACGAAACTCATGCCTTTTTATTCTATTTCATTAGACGTTTCTTTTTCTCATCTCTTGTTCTTTTCTGTCTTTCTCTCATGTTATTCTTAAAAGAATAGTAAAGAATAATCATAAAGGAAACACACTCGATAATTGTGATGAGAACGAACTAAACTCATGCAAGAGAAACTCTAAATTATGTTTATATATATATATATACCCTCTCGACTTTTATTTTTTTTTTCTATATTTCTTTTTCTTTCTCTTTCTCACCTCGTTTTTTTTTTGTTAGTTTGTGTTATTCTTATAAGAGATAGCACTTTTCTTTAACCTATATAGAAGACTAATCATTAATAAGCATATTATATGCTCTAAAATTACAATAATCTTGACAACCGGGTATTTATATGATTCCTTACAAATAAATGAGGTTGATAGGAACGATAGTATACTATAAAATACTTGACTTCCGAATAAAAAATAATATTGTGGTTGGCTCATTCAAAGACAAAAAAAAATGAAATTTCTACAAATGTCTTTTTTGGGTTAATCTAAACACACAAAACTACCTGTTAAAGAAAAAGAAAACTAACTTAACTAATATATTATACTCTTCTTTTGTTTTGTAAAAGAAGAAAAAAAAGAATTACCATTACTATTTATTCATACAAAAAAAAGAAAACGGTAAAAGCTTTCAAAAAAATTAACGGAAAAAAAGTACATCTTTTGAATATTCTAAATATATTTACGTATGAAGCTTACTAATACGATAATTTAATTGTTTACGTCAGGTTATTTTAAAATTGATGCTTTATTTAATTGAATGACATTTTACTATTTTTATCTTTATATCATAAAAGAATGCTTTTCTTTTGAATGTATGATGATGAAATATAAAGTTAATTTTAGATAGATATTGTTAAATAATTCATTGACAACAAAAAAAAAGAATAAATGTAAAATAACTTACGAATAGAATTGAATTGTTTTTCCCATGGTGATGATGTAGCAGCAGTAAGATGCATTGGAATTTGTTCTTCTGATGTACCTTTTTGATCGGGTATTCGAACTAATCGATCATTTAAAAGACCACGTCGACGAATATCCGGTGCTGAACGTCGACGTTCTTGTAAATGTCTGAAATGTCGTCGCCGTTCATTATCTTCTTCGTCCATATCTTCTTTTGTATTACTTCTTAGAACAATTGATGACATACGTTGAAAAAAAGATTCCATCTAAAAAACACGATGAATGTCTTGTAAATTCAGAACTTAGTCATTTAATAATAATAATATCATGAAGAAGACGGAAGTAATTTCTTCTACAATTATTTTCTTACTATATATCTATTCGCTTGCGAACGACTTCATCGAATATCCGCTTCAGTCGCTCGTTAGGCAACATATCTATACGAATGAAGTTGTTATTCTCGTCAATGTAAAAATAATCTCCGTTATTGCACAGATAGTATAAAGCATTCTAAAGGCACTAATTTTCTTTTTTTGACAACAAATCGCGAGGGAGACTACTATCGCCTCTGTATTGATTTCTCTTTTTTCTCTTTTTAGTACAAATTGTAACAATCATTTTCAAAGGACAAGACACTAGCGTGTATGTTAGCTTCCATGTATAAATAGCACGAACAAGTATCTCTTTTTTTTTCTGCTACTGAATCTAAAGAAAATCAGATTAAATAAGCTAATCTAATTTTCGATGTAATAGAACTGTTGGATGAAATGTCTTATTGAATTTCAAGCAATTGCCATAAATATGATTTTTGTTTGTATCTTTAAAAAAATCCAAACAAAAAAACTTCATTTTGTTATTCTTTTTCTTTACAGATCAATAACATTATTCAACAACTAAAGAATAATAAAAAAAAATCTAATTGAAATTAAAATAGATCTTTCTTTCTTTCTTTCTTATTGTCAAATGTCTATAGAATATTGATAAGAAATAAAAAAAGAACAGACATACAAAATATTCTAGTGTTATTTTTTTAATTTTATTTATATCTAACAACACATAATGAGTCAATACTTACAATTGAAAATAAACGTATTAATGAAAAAAAACCTATCCTATTATTATATTTTATTGAGTATAAAATCATAGTTGCATTTCATCGTTATGAACTAGAATTCTATCGTTAAAAGTACCACTTGAATTTGATCGTTGTAAAAGAGCCGTTTAAACTAAAGAGAAAAGAGAATGATAGAAAAAAGTGGAAGTCAACTCCTATTGGATAAATCTTTACTCTTCTTAATAATGTTTGATCTATCACTTTTATACTTCTCTTTATAAATAATTTCTATCAAAGGTTTTTCTAGTATAATATAGTATTAATTAAAAAAATACACAAAGAGATTAAATTAATAAGAAATATTAAAATTCATTAAACAACATAAGAATTGAAGATTAACCTATGTTTATTACATAATTTCTCAAAGATTAAATGTATCAAAATAATTTTCCATGGTTGTTAATACCACCTCGATCTTTTTCCAATGATAAAAATTCTGTCGATTCATTATAATTTATTCAGTAAACACTATTCATATATTTCCTGTATATATCACAGATTTATGTTAATATTCTAAGCAAAATTTTTGATTATAAACTTTCTCTATCAGCCATAGGAAAGAAAGACAATAGATCTTCAAATATTATTATTGTACAAACTATAATGTACTATTAGAATAATAGTTTTTAATATTTCTCATTTTACATGTTTATTATTAGTATTCATCGTTGCATATCGTACTAGAGATTTTTCTGTATAAATCATTACTTATTGTATTTATCTTTTCATAGTGATTTATTTCCATAGAGGGAAGCATGAAAAAAATCTGATTAATGGCATCATTCCATATTTTCTCACTATCCTACTAGTAATAAATATATACATTACTTACATCTGGAAACATTGTTTTTTTTTCATAATTTGCATTTAACATGTCACAAAGAAAAAACAGTCAAAGCAAAAATATGAACAAAGTAAATGTCCTAGGATTTGATACAAATATATTTGGATTCTTTTTTCATATAATCATAAATCAAAATTAGTTTCAATAGAAACAAAAAAAGTAATAATTCTTTCTTCGATTGATGTACAGATAGTTCAAAGAGATAATAAGCAATATAATTACATCAAATTCAATTTCTGAATAAGATTTATGTCAAAATTAAAAAGAGATTGACTAATATTATAATTGTTTGATTTTTTTCATAAATAGAATATGATAATTCAAGTTTTCTTTGATCTCATTCATAAGGGAATGGTAGAAAATATTGTTAAACATAGATAAAAACAATATATCTTAAGATTATTGAACCGAAAATATAATTTAATAATTTGTTCTTAAATTCTTTTATTTATTTTCTTTTCGTATTTAATAAATAGTCATTATAATAGATGACATTGACTAACATCTTATTTAATTTTATTTTTTCTATATCTCAAGCATTCGATTAAGTGAATGAATAAGAATTATTATCGAGATATGTTTGTCTAATTTACAGAGTAATTCTGTTCGATGCTGCATCTTCTACATTATTATAAAATCGACATACATCTAGAAAAATATAGAACAGTCCTCTTACTACTTCTACACAAGTTTTTTTTTCGTGATAATGTTTTTCTTTCTCTTGAATGAACGAAAGAAAGAGAAGAGAAGAGAAAAGATTTTTTTGTTAATATGATTCTGACGACGACCGACCGAAAGAGATGATGATTTATTATAATCAGGGAAGAGCGAGCGATTTATAATGCATAGAGAGAGAGAAATATAATGATTTTGGCAAAACTCATTTTTTCTAGTGTTAGTTCATTAGAACTTGGGTTTTTTTTCAGATCAATATAAACAAAAAGGAAAATTCATATCTATATATATATTTAAATGTAGAACTTGTTCTGTTGCGTGAGAGATGTTCATCGTCATTATTATCATCATATGATCATAATTGAAAGAAATTGTTTTTCCATTCTTTTTCTATCTCTTTCCGTTTTTTTTGATTCTAGTCGCACATATTGGAAACATAACAAAAGAACCCGAGGAAAAGAAAGAAAAGATATGTGAATCGATCGTTGACAAGCAGGGCAAGTATAGAGAATAGAAGCAGCAAAAGATAGTGTCGATTGTGCATAATTGTGAATATTTTCTTGCATTCTTGTCGGTTTTTTTTCAATGTGAATAAGAGTCTTTCCTTCTTCGTCTTCTTCTTCTTTTTCTCTTGTTGACTACTGCGCGTTTAGCATAAATTATCTAAGGCGACAGAAGCAGCGAATTTTGTATTTGCATAAACAGTATCATCATCATCATCATCATCATTTTTGTTCTCTCTCTATCTTCCTTTTTCGTACGTACTTATAGTTTGTTGTCGAGATAACATTAATGAGCTTTTTATTCTTTTTCTCTTTTTTTTCTCTCTCTTTCTTTAGCTTAGACCAGTAGTCTTCTCATTTCTCTAATTTATGTGTTTCTTTAGAGATTTTTTTTTCTCTTTTTCTTTATTTATTATGGTTATATATTAGGGTGGGTGCGAATCTCACTTATGCGTGTAGAAATAGATATACGCGCATACACATATATACAATTAAACTCGCACCTGGTTCGAATTTGACTTTATTCTCTGTACCAGCAAACAACGAAAGTCAATTTATATTTTGTCTCGTTCCACCGCCGCTGCTGTTGCCTCTATCTATCTTTTCGTTTTTGCGCATAAAATATAAAGCATAGCTACTACCATTAAATAGTAAAGAACAAAAAAAAAATTGTGGAATCAAATTACCAATGAGACAACGAGAGGAGATGCTGCTTACTTACTCGTTTATACTCTAAAATGATAGAGTATGTGTGGTGTGTTTCACATTCTCGAGCGCGTGCGATAAGAATACATAAACAGTCTAAATTAAAGAGAGCGAAAGAGAATCATAAACATTTGATTTTTCAAAAGCGATGAAATAATTTTATTCTTTTTTTAGAATAAAAAACATATAGATATATATATGACACTACCGACTGCTTCCGAAAAATCTCAGATATCAGAAGGTATTGTTTGAAATTTCTTTTTTTTTATTATAATTTCATTTCTTTTTTCTTCAATTATAATTCAAGCTTCTTGTACATCATCAAATGAATATATGAATCCATTTTATTCATCATTTCTTTCTCATCTCACATCTCAACAGCAACAACAACAATTACTTCTTACTCAATTTTTACTTTCTGGTAAATAGATTTTCTATCTCTATTCTTATTTTAATTTAATTAATTTGTAGGAGCTACTTGTCCTCCAGTTAATCCACTTGCAAATGCATTGCAATTTCTTCTTCATAATAGTGCGCTTTTTTTACAACAGCAAAATTTATGTATGGTGTTTTTTTTCTGTCTCTAAAACATAAATATTTTATTCGTTTCATCTAATCTTTTTAGCATCATCCTTGATCGATAGTAATAAACCAAACGAATCAATTTCACCTGTAAATTTGAAACATAAACATGATTTAAATATATCAGTACCAATTGATTGCAGGTAAAAAAAATATTTGATCTTTTAATTATTGAATTTTATGTTTTTAGCTTATCTGATACAAATGGAAAATCAACATTAGATGATGATGATAATTCACCAACAATTGCAACAACACTTGCTACATTACCTAATAATAGTATGATTATTTTAATCGAATTTTTTTTTCTTTAATCATATGATTTTTATAGATGAAACAACAACAATTGACGGTATTAATTTAGAAGAAATCAAACAATTTGCAAAAATATTCAAACTACGTCGATTAGCACTAGGTTTAACTCAAACTCAAGTTGGTCAAGCCTTAAGTGTTACTCGTGGACCAGCTTATAGTCAATCGGCAATATGTCGTTTTGAAAAACTTGATATAACACCAAAAAGTGCTTCAAAAATAAAACCTGTTCTTGAAAAATGGATGCGAGAAGCTGAATTAAAATATGCTGATAGGTAAATAAATAAAAAGAATCTTCGGAAAAAAAACCTTTTTTGTATTTTAAATAATAGACTAAAAAATGGTCCAGCAAATTTACAGGATCTTGTTACTGATCTTAATACACGAAAACGTAAAAGACGTACATCATTTACACCGCAAGCACTTGAAAAATTAAATGATGCATTTGAATTAAATACACATCCATCTGGTATCGATATGTCATCACTTGCTCAAGACTTAAATTATGATCGAGAAGTAATACGTGTTTGGTATATATATATTTTTAATTTTTCTTTTCTAAAAAAAACAAATCTTCTTCATAGGTTTTGTAATAAACGTCAAGCATTAAAAAATTCGGTCAAAAAATTTAAATCTAATGAGATAAATGAAGATAATGAATCGACGTCTAGTTTATTAATGGATAATAATTTAAGTGATACAACAAATTATTTCAAAGCTGAACAAGATGAAACTTTATCATAATATTTATTTCGAAAAAAAAACACACACACGAAACAATCAAATTATAGGTTCTTCCATGTTTAATATTGACTTAACTGATAAAAATCAACATACGGTTTTCATTTTCGAATAAAATACACAATATATTTAACTAATGTCTTTCTTTATTGTGTATTTAAAATCTTTCTTTTTTTTCTCATATTTTAATTATATTCTATAAAAACAAGATACTTTATTTTTTATTATTATTTAAGATACAAAATAATATTCATTGTAAACTGATAAAAAAAACTAATCAAATGATATCATTAACACTTTTTTTTTCATTATCTATGAAGGTGTACTTTTGAATCATATGACTATCAGTAGTGACAAGGCAACATTACTCAGATGACTAGTGTAGTTTACACGTTTGTGATAGTTTCATAATAGTCTTTATGATAAAAGTTCGTCCAAAAATAAATATTGTCGTTTATGTTATAGAGCAAAAAAAAATAATTCTAATGAATAATATATTTTAATAAAATTGAGTCAAGTATATGAAATAAAGAGTATTCAGATGTATCAATGTTTCTACTTTTCTAATACAGAATTTATTTAACAAATAAAAAACACTAATATTTATGTCATTTCTTTTATAAACGTTCACGATTTTTTAAATTAGAATCGATTAAACTACTATCTGTTGATATTAAATGCGGGTATTCAGAAGGAGCCGATGGTTTAATATCAAAATCAGAACAAGACGATGTTGATGACGATGATAATTCTAATGATTCTTGATTAAGTACAATATTTTGTCTAATACCATATCGAAATGAGCATATACCACGCATTAGAAACCCTATTGAAGGAGGATTATTTTCGATAATTTTAAAACTATTTAATCGATGATTTGTTTTCATTGCTTTACATATTATTTGAACGATATCACCAACAATAAATTTCAAACATATATTAGGTGATTGACGAGTTGCAATAGTTGCTATAATACGACCAGAAAATTGAATCAATAGAGAAAACTTAGTAGATATTTCTTCTTCATCAATATTTAAATTTGCAATAATACGAGTCGCAGATGGTACACGTATTTGACTATTCAAATTCCAAGGAATTTCATATTCTTTTGTACTAATTAATTACAAGAATATGAATTAAATATTTGAAAAATATTTTCGTATACTTACGTATCTTGTCCAAATTGAATTGATTGTTCAGTTTGTAGATCATTGTAAAATTGTTTAATTTGTTGAGGTAAATGAAAAATCATATTTGATTCTTGTGTTTTATGCAAAGTATGAGTAAATAAAATTTTCAATGTTGAATATGTTGATCGTTTTATTTCAAAATTATATAGATGTTCATTTGTTGTTTTATTATCAAAATTTGTTCGATTAAGTATTCGAGGAAAATATGAAGATGATATATCAGAAAAATCGATATTATTTTGTGTAAATGTAACATTCTTCCAATTAATTGTTATGAGAAGATCTTCGCGTCTAAATTAATTTATAAATAGATTTATAAAAACTTTGATAATAAGAGTTATGTATATACTTATATCGAGATAATAATTTTGTTTTCTTCCATGTATGCCAAATCCATTGTTCAACAATTTCATCTAAATCAATAATAAAAGGTTGATTTTGTTCTTCAATAATTTGCATATTTTGTTGAACTCTATTCTTCATTATAAAAAGACAAACAAAAAATTTTATCAAACAAAAATTCTTAAATCATACTTGATTGCTCATAGAAATTTCTATTAACTGATTTTATCAATGTTAAAAAGAATAACATGAAAAAATGATATCGATTATATATTAAAATAAAGATAAATGCCACGATTAAGATGTATGAAAGGTTGATCCTTAATTCAAGGCCAATATCAATATATAAACAGATGAATATGAATTTATACTTTTATCGTTCGCAAATATCATGATATATGATCTGTTATATAAGAAATACATTTCGATTTATTTATTAAAATGCATATTCATCGTTAGAAAGACACGATAAAGGCACATGGACACTTATCTGGGAGGATTTCGTAGACTATTATAAAAAGCTCCTGGAACAAATAATTTGTTGATTTTCGAGAATGTTCTAGAACATTCTCAAATACAGAAATACGAAAATATTTGACTATAACTGCTAGGAAAGTAGTTAGAGAAATAGTATTGATTTCATTTTTAAATTATCTGTAGTATTTGGTGACATTTTCATTCAGTTTAAACGTGTGAGTGTGGACGACAATGCAGAATTCTTCTCGAACTAATACTTTTTCAGCAAGTCAATCACATCACATTTACATCTATTACATTCACTCATAATCACTGTACAATGGTCTATTTAATTTCAAACTAAAAGATGGTTATAGGGAGTCTTAGCTGTTGCTACTAGATATATCATTAAATATAGTCTATATCTGATTGTATTATAGAAGGTTGATTTAATGTTGAAGCATAATCTTGGAAAATAAATTTTATCAGAACTAATGATTATTTATTTTAAAATCAAAATTTATTTTTTCATAATTAAACAAAGACAAGCATTTTTCAAGGCATTAGTTATTTGTTTCAAAGCTTTTTAGAAGGAAAATAGTCATTTGGTGAGTAATGAAGAAGAAATGTCTTTTATTTGATCAAAAATGTGATAACTGCACCCACTAAGTTCAGTGCGACTGCGACAATAGCTAAAATACATGATACACCCATCGTAGCATTCGAAATCTTAATAATATCCACAACCATACTAATTCCAAGACCAACACCAATAATTCCACTAATAGCACTTGCTATGGCAAGAACTTTAGCTAATAGAGACATACGCTTCTTTAGATTTTCATTCACCAATATAATCGATAATATTGATATAGCTGATAATGGGGCTAAAATACAACATATTGTAATGAATGCTCGTGTAGCCATAGTTTTATCATCCACTTTCGATCCATCACCAACACATTCCGATGTACCTTCAATTTTTACACATAATTTCCACAAACCGACTGTAGCTGTGCCTGATCCAACAGATCTCGTCGCCCTAAGACAAAAGATCACTTTACCAATAGGTTTTCTTTATGATAAGTGATAACCTAGAAACAATCTCATAAAATAATCCATGAAAACTTAAATGATAAATTATATAAGTCACTCGCTAGAAAGACTTCATTTTTCAACTACAGAGAAATATATATCCATTTTCCAATATAAGATTAATTTTCATCGAAAACTAAAGTTTTTATGCGAATAAATATCTAGAAAAAACTCTCAAACTGTAATTTACTTATTTATTTTCTTTTTCTTTCAGTATTTTATTCAAATCAGAATTCTATAACAATAAAAGAAGCAGAAGAACATAAAACTCAATAGTGATCTCACTATTCAATAAGAAACATTCGATCTAGAAAATATTTCTAACAAGTATTTCTCTACTTAATTGTAATTAAAATATATCATTTTAAAGATTTGAATATCTTCTCTTTTGCTGTGTTTTTGGTTTAGTAATAAAGAGAATCGAAAGAGAAGTATACAAACCATATAGGTACAGCATTAGCTGTAATATATAAGACGGAGACTACAATCAATATTCCACATGCAATATATACTGTTTTGGAACTTTGCAAAGCCATTTGTTGTTTTTCTTTGAGGAAATGTTGCTTCTATTTTTCTATTCCAATAAATAGGATAGTTATATGATAGAAAAATGAGGTATGTAAAAAAAATCTATATTCTTTATGCTCCGTTCATTATTAGATGAATTCTTCTAGCCATATTCTAACTTTATATTAAATATTATACGTTTGTTCTGTTTTACTTGTTAACAAGGAAAATATTGTATATTTATAACTAATAATTCTTGCCTATTTTATAATATTAGTCTCGAGATAACATTCATTATCTTTATGTAAATCTGTCTTTTTATCACAAATATATCAGTATTCATTCTCTTGTCACAAGGAAGAATAAAGAATTAAACTATAGGATTTATTCATTTTATCCTGTTCTATGAAATATATAGTCAGTCAAAATATTTATTTAAATCAATAAAGTGCTGTCAGATGTCATTAATAAATATTTCAATCAAGTTCAATTTTTATGTATTGATATAAATCTGACAGCTATCTAGAAATGTTTTATCCGTACCTCTGTATTGATCTATTCTAAAGTCTTAAATTTTGTTGATAGCTTTCTTTGATCAACTGTAAAAATAATCCGTTTGACACCCTGATAGATTCTAAATAGCTAAAAGTAAAGATGTATCGACGACTATTACTTCATCTTATAATAGATGTAAAAACAAAACTTTATCAAAAGGAATTATTTTATAGTTACTTTTCTATGAATGAGGATGAAGATTTTGATCATTTCAAAATGATAATACTAAAAATTCTCTTAAGTTTATTATAATCAAATTGAAATCAGATAAAAGAACAGATGTAGAAGTTCTTCTGAGTTTTTACTGTGAAAGTTGAAAAAAAGACACTCATTAAATTTTCTTTTAAGAAGAAACGAAATAGTTTGGATTTATTCAAAAAAATATAAATATAAATATGCTTGGTATTTTTGTTTTGGGTACGAGCAGAAGCCATAATTGGATAATTTATTTTTACTTCTTATCTATTAAAACCAGTCATAAAATATCAGAGAAAGTTTTCATAGATAGATTTGAAATATATTGATGTTGTGAATATGGATAGAGATAAGGCTCATATCTATATTCACACCGATATCCACATTCTTTAAGCATCAGTAAAACGTTGAGTTGAAAAATAAAAGTAAATAAAATGTTTTCTGGAATATATTCTATTGCATCAGTAAACCATACCGAACTTTATATTTGATGTAATTATAATTCAACATTTGGAAAAATTAACTTACACATTCAGTCGCATTCATGTAACATAATTCATGATCTAAGTACGATCGCGAGTAAATGAGAAGTATACAAAAAGAAAACTTCAGAAAATATACTAATTACTACAATATATTCTTCTGTTTTTCGGCTCATAATCTTATTAATCAATTAAAGTAAGATTAACTCAATCTTCTTGTACTGGATGATTATTTATTTTAAAATCAAAATTTATTTTTTCACGATTAAAAAAAGACAAGCATTTCTCAAGGCACTAATTATTTGTTTCAAAGCTGTTTAGAAGAAAAATAGTCATTTGGTGAGTAATATAGAAGAGATGTGTTTTATTTGATCATAAAAGTAATAATTGCACCGACTAAGTTCAGTGCGACTGCGACAATAGCCAAAATACATGATGCACCCATCTTAACATTCT